GTAAATAATTATATAATTTTAAAACATTATATATATATATAAATTCTAAAATTACTAAATTTTTAATGGAAAAAAACTAAAATCACATAATTATAATAGTTGAGAGACTAAAATTGTTCAATTAAAAATTAAGAGACTAAAATCACACAATTACAATCTTTTAAGGACTAAAATTACTCAATTAAAACCCCGAGGATTAAAATTGCACAATTGTAATACAACACAATTAAGTCATTAATTTATAAACTATTATTTCGCCATATTTATTTAACTCTTTTAAATTTTATATGGTTTGTATTTGAAAATGGCAATCCCATTCAGATACGTGACACAAAGATTGAGTAGGTAGCATTTACTACATCTATAACATAGACTACCCAATCAACGTTTGCTATGCCATTTGGCATAATTTCCTCTTCTGAACATGAAATTTTCTAAGCTTCTTTAATTACTCGAAGTTGTTGGTCATTAATTAATCATTTCCTCTAACTAATTAAAGTGTATACGTCGAGCGTAACAAACCGTATTCAATAAAAATACTCCATTACGTTGCGTATTATATATTTTACATTTAAGATTTTATATGCATATTAAGAATTATAATTAATATTTTAAATTTTATAAAAATATTAGTATAGCATTATTTAATACATGTTTTTACCTAATATATTAATTAAATTCTTTTTTTGTCTATATTTGTTTTTATATTTTACAATAAATATTTAAGTTATAGAGTTTAATAATTACGTGTGATGTATATAACTTATTTAATGACTCTATCAACTACAAAAAAAAATGTTATATATAATGACATACACAAAATGTCATTAAACGTTATTTGACATATAGCTACACACAATTTAAGTATTAATTTTGAATGTGATTTAATAATATATTTTGTGTGTCATTATAATCTATATTAACATTTTTTAACAATATATCAAAATATATTATATTTAATATATGAATAAAAGTACTTTTTAATGACATTTATTGTAGTATCACTATAAGATATGTGTTACTACATAACAATTTTCTTGTAATGATATTTTAATTTTCAATTTTCAATAAATCCTAATGATTAAGAATAAATATATTATTAAAAGTGTATTGCTAACAATTTTCTACTATAATTAATGTTACTTGTCTCGTTGGGTACGTAGGTGGGACAGTTGAACTAATTACAACTTTTGGGACTTCTACCTTTTTCTATGTTTTCAATGGTTAGCTTGTAAGGTGGGGATGAGGCTAAGAAATTTGAAAAAAGAGTAATGGTATATTTTTCAATTTATAATTTTACAGCAATTTCTTTTATAAAAAGAAAATATAGAATGAAATGATTTATAATAGGAAAAACAAATCTAGTAAGAAGGTGAAATGAAAATAATACTAGTACGTATTATTTTTTTTGAGAAAAAGCCATGTCCACCACTCCACGTACGTATAGAATTCGAATTTGAATATCTCAAAAAAGTAACCTAGCTGTAACAGAGAGGATTAAATTGTCATCAAGTGACTTTGCATAATAGTACACGAGTAGGCCCAAGTGTAAATCTAACCAAGTAAACTCCTAATAAAGGGAAAGTAAAGTCTATTTTGAATACAATTTAATTTTTTCCACGTGAAAATTACATTGTAAAATCTAAAAAAAAAAAAAAAAAAAATTGTTCTTCTCAAGTAACCCGCAGCGCCGCCCCTAAACCCTAGTTGCAAAATTTAATACAACCAATCCTAGAGTCGAAGATGTGAATCCTTATCGTGTGAGAATAAAATGTTTCCAAGCAAACCTCGTTCGATTATTTTATCGTTTGTGTCTGCGTTTCAGCGTCATTGTTTGTCGTTTGCATAAATGTGAAAAGGAAAATGAATGTATTTACAAGTTTTCCGTACACCGCGTGGATAATCTTTGACCAATACAAAGACACCCTACATGGTAGTTTCTCAAACTTGCAATAAACGAAATATTGTGGTGCCAGCCAACTATATAAGAGGATATTTATGGTGAAACGTTTAACTAAGATCATCATCGATGATGTTGAAGAACCCACATCTTCACCACAAAAGTGCCCTAACTAGTGCATCTTTGCCCCTATATATACTTGGGAAAGACCCTCGCAAAAGCCGTAGCAATAGTTTGTTCTTCGACCAAAGTAAACTCTCTTTGCCTATTACTTGGAAAGAGAGAAAGAAGGTTCACATAGGGTGCTTGAAACCTGTGATGGCTAGTGGCAAGACCAGCACTACAACATCTCTAAGTGTGAAGGCTCTTGTGAGTGTGAAGCATAGTGGGGGTGGGCTTCTAAGGAACCTCGTTGATGGAGGTGTTGGTGAGATCAAAGAGTTGGTTGGGAAAACACTTGTTTTGGAGCTTGTGAGTGAGGATCTTGACCCAAGTAAGTTCTATTACTTAATTTGCTTTCATGTTCTCTTACTCATATTCGGCAAAGAAGTATAGTAGTAATACAACTTTATCACTATTTTTAACATATTCCTTTTTATTAAAATTCAAATAACACCCACTAATTTAAGAAAACAACTATCATAAAGAATATGACGCCACCAACATATTTTAATAGATCTCGCGTAAATTTCGCTCTATGTTATAATCCCATCACTAAATTATATTCATTTATTTTTTAAATTTTAGTTTAGATATTTATATTTTAAAAAATATATTGGTTTTTAATTTTAAAATGTGCATCAATTTAATTTTTTTTAAAACATAATTATTTTATAGTTTTATGTCATAATTTTAAATCAATTTTTAACTAAACCAAGTTTATTTTATAAGATTCACGTACATGATAATTATTAAATCTAACTAATGTTTAAATAAACAAAATGTCATAATCATAATAAAAATCACTGGATAATAAGTCTAGCTAGCAATTAAAAATTTTAAAAAATTATTATATATCATATTCCTTTGTAAAGTTTATTTTTTACGGGATTTTTATTATATTTATAAATATTTTTTTATTCAAATATCAATTAAATTAAAAAAATTAACATTTACATGAATTTAATAAGATAAATATCATATTTTAATTAAAAATAATAATTTAAAATTTTGTTTTGATATTTTAAAAGAATACAAATTATTTAAATTTTAAAATAAAAAAATCAAAATACTTTTTAACAAATGAAAAATAAAATAAATATTAAAATAAGATAAAGTATAAAAAGTATAAGTTAGTAAAATAAATCTATACTAATATATAAAGGAAATACTTCTTTTAGTAACTACCTTGGTCACCATATTTTATTGACTATTATACTCTTTTATTTTAAAAAATTAAAAAAATAATATTTTTCTCAAAATCAACATTTTAAAATTAATTGACAATATCATTCACCACTTATAATTTGCCACGTGTCCACACGATAATCCAGGGCTCTGTTCCCCAACTGGGGAAAGTCTTATCGGGAGAAGAAAAGTCAAGCTGACAATATAAATTCATTAAAAAGTTAATTTAATTAAATTATTTTCATAAATAAGTTAATCCAAAATATGCACAAAATAATCAAAGATCGAATTGTGTTCAGGCAAAAGATCTTTGCTCTCGATCTGGTAATATTTCATTGACAAACTTGTCTGTATCATTTCTTAATTTTTTTAAGATGAGGATAACATACTAATTTTTTTTTCTTTTTTTATCCTTCATTCAAAATTAATAAATTTATAATTTATGGGACACCTTTTTCTTTAAAACGAATCTTTTACACAAGGGAACTTTGAGTAAAACAGTTATTGATGAAACTTTGAAGTTTAACACAATCGATAGAAGATGGATACAAGGTGAGAGACTTAGACATGTTTTTTCATTATAAAAAAAAGTTTTTGAACTATTGGATCTCTTTAATTTTAAATTGATAGGTTAATTCTTTTTCTTTTTTTTTCTTTTCTCATCTAAATGTTTTTTTTTTCTTTTGGAAAAATTTACTAAAAGATTGTCTTTGTCATAAACCACCTCGTTTTCAAACTTTGACGCGGTCCTTGAAAGAGATGTATAGAGGTCGCCAAATAGAAGAGTGACTGAAAAAGAAGGGAAGAAAAGAAAAACTAACCTATCAATTCAAACTAAGTTATCAATTTAAAACTAAGAAAATTGTTTCCCATAGCTTACACTCGTGACAAATACAATTAATTTAACTTTTTTTTTTTTATGCAAGGCGAATTTTAAGTTTTAGTTTTACTTTAATATAACTTTTTCTATTGACGTTTTATTCTTCTAACTTTTTAAACCATAAAATTATTTAAATAAAATTGATAATTAAGTTATTTTTTTGCTATGAAGTTATTCATTTAATAATTGTCTCATAATATATAAATGAGGACAAATTTGTAATAAGTTTATTTAAAATTATTACGTTTAATAACTCATATTATATATGAAATTTTAATCATCTAATCATTGAATTTAAAGTTCTTAATGCATTAATCAAGTTTGTGAATTTTTGAAAAATTTAAAAATTATTTGATATTTCGTTTCATTAATTTAAATTGACGAATAATAAAAAATTATTTTATACATTGATTTAAATTAATGAAACTAAATATCAAATAATCTTCAATTTTTTTAAAAAAATTACAGAGTTAATATATGCATTGAGAATTTTAAATTAAAAAGATATATAATACAAACTTAAATATAAAAGTTTTAATTTTAAAATTTTAATTTAATTATAACAAAAATTATAAGTATTATTAATAAAATTTTATAAGCATGGCATTAATTTAAAAAGAAATAATATTTCATTATAATCTAACAATTTTTTAATACTTTTAATTTAGAAAAATTAAAGACCACTAATTGAAAATTACTACTCATTAAAACTTAAATTAAGTTCAAAACTAATACTAATTTATTACAATGTAGCTATCTATGTATAACGTCAAAAAATATAGTGTTCCACTATTTTTTTAAAAATATTTATTTTAGAGAGTCGTTGATCCAAAATGATTTATAAGTTAATATAGTTAGCATATATCCAAAGATATCATAGTAATCCTTAAATGATTGAATTTATACCTATACTTATATACACGAAAACTACAACACCAAAAAAAAAAAAAACAACACCAAAAAAATATATACGAAAACTCAGCGGTGGAGTCAGAAATTTATTTTGAGGGTTTTTTTTAACATTTACGTTTAATTTAAATGTTTGAATATTATAAATAATTTATTTATATTTATATTTTTTTCTCTCCTTTTATTATATTATATATTAACTATTTTATAATATATTGTTTTTATAATTTTTAAGGACAAATTTCAAAGAAAAAATGAGGGTGCCATGGTCCTCTAAGTCCTCCCTCCCTGTGTAAAATAGTAAAGTTCACCTCCACAAACCTTCAAAATTAATAAATTTATTAATAAAATATTATTTATAGTCATTTAATAGTAACATTTAATATAATTAAATATTAATAAATTAATATAAATTATTTATATAAAAATAAAAATGAATTCACATAAATAATAATGCTAATAATCATTACCACTTGAGGAGAAGTTAGTTTAAAAAATATAATTTGAGAGAAAAAAAAGCACGAAAGTTTGAATCAATTTTCTAAAATCATCTAATCACAACACCATTATGATGGTAAATTTGTTAATTTTTAAATTAATTATTTAAAAATTTATAATAATTATGACTTTTGATTAGTTGATAGTATTAAAGTTTTAGACTAAATTATATTTTTTGATCTTTATTTTTGACTATATATCTACAATGTTTGTTCTTTTATTTTAAAATAGAAACATTTAATTTTTGAGAATACAAAATATTTTGATTCTCCTATCAAATTAATATCCTTTAGTTATTAAGTTTTAATGTCTACTCATATTTAAATGATGTGACATTTAATTATATGACATAAAAAAATAAAAACTATAAGAAATACATGTAAATAAGATTTATTAACAAAATAAATGTTAATTACTTGTCAAAATACATATAAATGAAAATATTTTATATAATTTTTTTTCTAATTTTTATCTCTACATATTATCTCACTAAATTATTAATACGATTGTAAATTTAAAATATATAGTAAATAAAATGTTACAAAAATGTTATTATAATGATTTAAACTAACTTAAAATGATATTTTTTTCTTCATTTTAACTCTATTCACATACAAGTATTAAATTACTTAAACAACACTAAATCTAAAATAAAAATACATATATAATTATTAGGGTCAATCTAATGATGGAGGTAATTGAAATAGAAACATGAAAAATTAAATTTTGATCTCATTATATAGTTGTAATTTTTTTTATTAATTAGAAAATGGTAAAAATGCAATTAGTAATATAATATAGATGAGTCTATTTACTATTCTAAACAACATTATAAGTAAATTTTATTATTTAAAATGTTTATTAATTTTTTTTATTTATATTTTTTGTTTGGAAAATTTCAAACATTCACGTAACCAAATTAAAACACTTCTAATAATATGTGAAAATATTGGATGGGGTAATAATTTTTACAATGATAATGTACAAAAATTAATTCTAATGATTATTTATCAACAAAAGTTTAAAGAAATTGTTGTTTCCTTCTATTAACATATACAAACTCATAAATTCATTGATGAAAGAATTTAAATTTATAAAACACCACCATCATCGTAAAATTGATAATAGAATGATTAAATCTTAAAGGGTCGACGAGAAGTTAGATCATATGGATGATGTTAAAAGCTCTAATTTTAATAGAAATTTGTACAAAAATATATCTTAAATTATACGATTAAAAGATTTACGTAAACTAAAAAATTATTTTACCACACCACTCTTTTATTTTTATTTTTTTTGCTTAATTTGACTTAATTATTCTTTGTTTTGTATAAATGAAGAAACGAACTCGGAGAGAAAGGCAGCAGAAAGAAAAGTGCACAAGATAGAGACGAAGGACGATGAGGTTCAATATGAGGCTACATTTGAGTTACCAGTAGCTTTCGGGAATGTGGGTGCTGTTTTAGTGCAGAATGAGGATCATAACGAGGTGTTTCTGAAGAGCATAGTTCTTGATGGCTTTCCTAATGGTCCTGTGCACTTTACCTGCAATTCATGGATTCAGCCAAAGAGTGATGATATTCATATCAAGAGAATTTTCTTTACCAACAAGGTGAGAGTGAAAAATATGTCATCTTATCACTGCAAACTAATTAATTACCTTGTATATCCATATACTTTATACATATACAACATTTGTAATTAAAATTTACATTTATACATATAAATATATTCTCATAATTGTTAAAAAGTATAAGTATATATTATATAGTTACAGATAATATATGTTATTTGATCTCATTTAAAATTAATTAACATTAAAATTGTATGTGGATATATGTCAAATAAATTTAATTACATCTACATATATATTATATTTATAATAATATTTTTTGTATGTTACTCTATAAAATAATTCTTGTTATTTATGTTTGTGTTTTCAATTTCATGAAAAGATACTAAATTTGTTTATGTAAGAGTTCTTTCATTATTCAAATATTTATTAAGTTTTTTCTATGGAGTTGATTGGTACATCATGTAATGGAAAATGATAAAATTCAATGGCAATAGCCGAATTCGACCGGTAACCAAATATTGGAAACAGAAGAAACTTTTTTTTTTCCCCTTCAAACCTCTTTTCTCCTCCAAACCCTTATCCTTAGTTGTGTACCTATTTCACATCAGCTCATTTTGTTTTGATTACATAATCTTGACAACATTATGCATGGAACAGTTGTATTTGCCATTTCAAACACCAAGTGGATTGAAAAGATTGAGAGAAGAAGAGTTGCAACAATTAAGAGGGAATGGAGAAGGAGAACGTAAGAGTTCTGATAGAATATATGACTATGATGTATATAATGATCTTGGAGATCCTGATACCAATATTGACCTCAAAAGATCTGTTCTTGGTGGTAGCAAGCAATATCCATATCCAAGACGATGTCGTACTGGACGAAAACACTCAGATACAGGTTATAATTAGTTTGCTCATGTGATTGTTTTTAGTTATTTACAACACATATATATATATATATATGAAGGGGATCCGTTTATTACACAGATCAAGTTTACAAATTTTTTAAAAATTTGAAAATCATTATATTTCATTCATTAATTCAAATCGACGGATAATCATAAAATCATTTTATATACTGATTTGAATTAATGAAACGAAGTATCAAATAATTTTCAAAATTTTTTAAAAATTTGTAGATATGATCTATGCATTAAGAACTTTAAATTCAACAGTTGAATTATTGAAATTTGATGTAAAACATGAGTTATTGAACGAAGTAAGTTTAGGTAGACTTACTCCTAGAGTAAATGGATCCCTTATATATATGAGAGATTTATTTATTTCAAGAGTAAGTCTATCAATATTTACTCCATTCAATTGATAGCTCATGTTTTATATCAAATTTCAATGATTTAACCGTTAAATTTTAAAGTTTTTAATGCATAAATCATGTTTACAAATTGTTTAAAAATTTGAAAACTATTTAATACTTTATTTCATTAATTCAAATTGATATACAATCATCAAAGTGTTTTATGCATTGATACAAATCTATATAACAAAGTATCATGATTTTAAAATTTTTAAAAAATTTGTAAATTTGATTTATACATTAATAATTTTTAATTTAATGATTGAATCGTTAAAATTTTTATATATAGAACATAAATTATTAAGTAAATTAAGTCCACTTACTCTTAGAATAAATCAATTCCTTCTATATATACTAGTGGGATCGAGACACTTCGTGCTTTATTAAAAATAAAAAAAATAAAAAATAAATAATAAAAGTATATTAATCTAATTTGTATTATGATTAATCTATTAGTTTCAAATTCTTAAATTTGATTAAAAAATATTTTTTCTAATTTTTTAAAATAAAAGGGTATAATGATAAAAAAAATGAAAATCAAGGTAGTTATTGAAAAAGATATCCCCTTTATATATTAGTATATATAAATGATCATTTTTTTAATAATATAAAAATTATAATGATAATAATAAAATTCAAAATTTAAAATTTATATATATTATTTAAACTCACTACTAAACCAGCCCTAATAATTCTAATAAGCATGTTAAAAAAAATGATTAATTGTGTTTGATTCTAGTTGGTAATGCTTCTAGTTGTATGGGTAGGTTAGCTGCTAGGCTGCAAGAGCTTTAGGTAATCATTACATATATTAAATTTATCTGGATAGGCTTTTAATTTATATTGCTTATTTTAGTGAGTTTCATTCCCGTTCGATTGTCACCTACTTTTCTTTTTTGATATTTATTGCATTTCTTTTTTCTATTCTTCTGGGTAAAGTACAAGAGCGCCATGGGAATAATTTGACAATCTTTCTCTTTTCAATACACTCTTTTCATCAATAAAATAACTATGTGCTCTACTAGTCTAGCTGGGAATGAGATCTATTAGATGGAGAATAAGATCCACACTGCCACACATAAATTTTATCTAATAAAAGAGTAAGTGTTAAAAAAGAAGAAAAACATGTGATTACGTGTCAATCTTTTATCTAAATTCAAATACGTAATTAAGCAATAAAAACTTGAATAGAATCTTTTAATGCACGATGGCCAGAATGAAAAACATCGTTCCCAACAGTTCATTTACATCTTTATAGTTAATTTATATCATGTGATAGTTTTTTAAGATACAGGCTCTTTATAGTACAAATAATTTTTCCTTCCCTAGTTAATAGATTTAATCTCAAATCAACTAGTTAATTAATAGATTTAATTAAATACTAGTTGCTATTTTCATTATGTATAAGTTTAACACAAATTCCACTGTATTTTTTTTTTTTTTTGGTTATATAGATCCGTTGTATGAGAAGAGAGCATTGAATTACTATGTTCCTCGTGATGAGGTGTTTGGTGATACAAAGCAAACACAGTTCACAACAACTACAGTATCATCAGGACTAAGTGCAGTTTTGGAATCCTTAGATGCGATTCTGAGTGACATAAATATTGGATTTGAAAGCTTCGAAGACATAAACGAGCTCTATAAAGAAGGATTTGAGTTGCCACCGCTTCAAGCCAATGGGTTGAATTTTCTCCAAAGAGTCATTCCCAAGATAATCAATGATAAACAGAACCTTTTGCGTTTCGATACTCCAGAAGCATTTAAAAGTAAGTACTCTTCAATTTAATAATAAGGAACACTTGCTTACTTATAATTGGTTGCTTTAGTTTTTCTTTGTGCCATATACTACGTACAAAAAAATTGCTGTTCGAAATTAATGTAGTAAATATTAATTGACAATTCGACATCATTAATTTCAAGGACTTTAATTTCGATAAAAGCTACTAAAAGAGTTATGTTATGGATTATTATTATTATTTTTATATTTCTCATTAACACTCAAGTTCGAATCCCTTGGACTTGAAGTATATGAATGCACTAGATCACTCCATCTCGCTTTACAATTTAACTTAATGTTAAAGGAAGTGTGTGATCGCATGGAACCCTAATCACTTGATTTTCTCAAAGATTTAAGGTGGAAGTGGAACTCTACATATCTCTCACAAGTATATAAAAGGGAATTAAAACTTGGGTCTACCATGTTTACTGGGATGCCCATGCCATGTTACTATAGCGAGTCAAAGTTTAAGTTGCTAATTTAATCTTACCTATATATAAAAGATAACAAATTGAAAAATTTTCTATATCTCGATATAATAGAGAACTTTGAAATTGCAGGGAATAGATTCTTCTGGTTATCAGACGAGGAATTTGCAAGGGAAACTTTAGCTGGTGTCAACCCATATAGCATCCAATTGGTCAAGGTATGAGTAGCTGCAATTTTTTTTTTTTTTTTTTGCTTTGGTGTCATACACACTAAAATGTTCTTTAATATTTTGTTCTTATTGTATTCATCATGTAGGAATGGCCTTTGAGAAGTAAATTAGATCCCCAAATCTATGGTTCACCAGAATCAGCTATCACAAGAGAAGTTATTGAGTCACAAATAACTGGATATAGCACGATTGAAGAGGTACCAAAACATCATTGACTTGTTAAATTAGACTATTTCATGATTAAAATTCTTAAATTGGATTCATGCAGGTAATTAAAGAGAAGAAATTGTTTATTTTAGACTACCATGATTTATTATTACCATATGTAAGCAAAGTGAGAGAGATTGAGGGCACCACACTATATGGATCACGAACACTATTCTTTCTCACTAAACAAGGCACATTAAAACCATTAGCTATTGAGCTCACAAGACCAACTATGGAAGGCAAGCCACAATGGAAGCAAGTCTTCACTCCAGCTAATCATTCAACCAATCTTTGGCTTTGGAGGCTTGCCAAAACTCATGTTCTTGCCCATGATTCAGGTTATCATGAACTTGTAAGCCATTGGTAAGTTCAACTATATTATTCTCTTTTGCAATACATTATGATATAAAGTATGTTTGGATACAAGTTTAGAAATAGTCATGAGAGTTTCTCTACTAAAAATAAAGGGTTTTATTTTGTTTAGTAGAGAAGTTTTTAAAAGTACTAACTTGTATCTAAATAGGTTTATAATGATCCTACCATTTAGTTGGTATGGGAAGTTTGATATGTTTCGTGTGATCCTAGCTTCATGAACATAAATTGTTCATTTTTGTAGGTTAAGAACTCATTGTGCTGTAGAACCATTCATTATTGCAACAAATAGGCAACTTAGCGCCATGCATCCAATCTATAAATTATTGCATCCACATATGAGATATACCATGGAGATCAATGCCCTTGCTCGTGAGGTGCTCATCAGTGCAGGTGGGGTTATTGAAGTTTCCTTCTCTACTAGAAAATATTCAATGGAATTAAGCTCCGTGGCATATGATCAACTTTGGCAATTTGATTTGCAAGCACTTCCCAATGATCTTATTTCAAGGTAAAGTTTATAGACAAGATTTTAGTTTCACATAATTAATTTTCCTTCTTTCCAAAACCATATAAATTAAACATTCACTTATTAATATTAATGTTAATTTCTTTTATATAGAGGAATGGCTGTGATAGATCCAAGTGCACCTCATGGTCTAAAGTTAACAATTGAAGACTACCCTTTTGCTAATGATGGTCTCCTTATATGGGATGCCATCAAACAGTGGGTAACTGAGTATGTTAATCATTACTATCCAAGTTCAAGCCTCATAGAGTCTGACCAAGAGCTCCAAGCATGGTGGAAAGAAATTCGAACAGTGGGTCATGGAGACAAATCTGATGAACCATGGTGGCCAAGTCTTAAAACACCCAAAGACCTTATTGACATCATTACAACTATAGCTTGGGTATCTTCTGCTCATCATGCAGCAGTGAACTTTGCCCAATATACTTATGGAGGCTATTTCCCAAATAGACCTACAATTGCTAGAAATATAATGCCAACAGAAGACCCTTCAAAGGAAAAGTGGGAAAAATTCTTAAATAACCCTGATAGAGCCCTTTTGGAGGGTTTACCATCACAGATACAATCAACCCTGGTGATGGTAGTTTTGAATTTATTATCTGATCATTCTCCAGATGAAGAATACATCGGGCAATTTGTTGAGTCTTCATGGGTTGAGAATCCAACTATAAAGGCAGCCTTTGAAAGGTTTAGTACAAAATTGAAAGAGATTGAAAGTATTATAGATTCAAGGAATTCGAATAGTGATTTGAAAAATAGGAATGGAGCTGGGGTAGTGCCTTATGAGCTAATGAAGCCATTCTCAGGGCCTGGAGTCACTGGAAAGGGAGTTCCATATAGCATATCAATTTGAAGATTGTTCTTTTAGTATTAATAATTTCTTTCTAGTGCAATGTCTTTTATGGAAGTCCTTAATAAAATATTTAATAGAATCTTTTCATATCCCAAAATTTTCCTGATTATGAATCAGATTGTGCTTTATTATTATATCCATATATCTATTGATTTTTTTTCAATTAGAGAAATTCATGCAAAAGTTACCATGAAAAGGCTTGGGGGTGTCGCAATGCCCAAATTTTGTGAATTATGGTGCATAGATGGTAAATGTAAAAGGATGTTCCTTCGATGCAAGTTCTGATTATGGGATTTCGTTGCGCTCTATAGATACAACCAATGAGACAGTGCCTCCTGAAAAAATACTTTTCACATTAGATATTTTAAAAAAGATGATTTTTTTTTAATTTTTGATTTTTGAGTTTGAAATATCACTTCTTTCTCCTCCAATATTGACGCTTCTTAATTATTTTTAAAAGGACACCTTCTAGCATCTGTGGCACCTTTCTATCCAAAACATAATAAATAAAAAAATTTATTAATAAAGAAAATATTTTAATTAAAAAACATTATAAACTACTTAAACTGAACTTTTTGTAATAAAAGGGTTTACAAAACATTAGATAAAACTCTTAAGTAAAAAGATAGCCAATCAACAAAATAAGTTTAAAACAAAGTACAAATTGTCTTATTACACAAAACTCTTATGAAAACAGAAAATGCCATAAAATAAATTAAATTTATTCATAACTAAGAAAAACATAGATCTCTCTAATTCTGATGTCATACTATCTAAGCAAGATCCTAGAACAACCATCAAAGCATTAGGCCTTACCTACATCAAACTTATCTTCTTGTACCTAGTCTATCTGCAATGGCGATCAACATAAATGAAACACAAAAACACAAACATTTAGAGTGAGAATATATCTCAATATTCGTGCACAACACTATGCTAATTACTCTACATTCATTCATCATCAACAATAATCATTCATGTAATTCAATCAATGTTAATTAAAATGTAAAGACTTGTGCAAATGCATGCGCTTAATTCTACATTCATGTGATACCAATCTTTTTATCATCACCAACTCAAGGTAGCTTAAGAACCATGGATTGGACCACCACAAATTTGGTGATCCTCTCAATCCACTCTCAACTAGAGGATGCTTACCAAAATTTAGTTGAAGCATTACAGTTAATCATGGTTACCTCACACTCACATTATTAGAGGCTCCCTACCATCACTACAAGAATGTTTTAATTTAGAGTCGGCCAAAAGCCGACTCTAAATCATAAAAGCCGACGTAATATTGTCGGTTATTCGTCAGTTTTTGGCCGACGCTAAATAAGTCGACACAATTTTTTTTGTGTCGGCTAAGCCGTCACTAACAAATTTATTTATTTTAATTTTTTTTTTGTTGGTTAAGTCGACACTATGTTGACACAAATTTTATTTTATTTTTTTCTTTATCTTCTTTTTCTCACTTATCATTTATTCGTTGGTATTTTTAACATTCCTGGGACTCGATCCGTGAACCTTGAGGTTTTAAGTGAACTTGATAACCAAGTGTACTAAAACACATTATGCGTATATAACATTCTAAAAATTATTTTTAACTCTCTGAAAGCACGTATATTATTTAAATATAGCGTCAACTTTTCCGACGCTAAACTTAAAATAAATTTAATTTAAATTTATTTTAAGTTTAGCGTCGGAAAAGCCGACGCTATTCTTTAAATATAGCATCGGCTTTTCTCGCACTAATTTAATTTAAATTTAAATTAAGTTAGTGTCGG